CCCTGGTAAGGGACCGAGGCGACCTTTCACAGGAACCTTGGAGGTTGAAGGGTCTGTTTTCATACCTGACCCTACCGGAGGTGCCGGGGTAAGGGGAACAGGATTTGGCCTTGGTGAAGGTTGGGCAGCAACTTCTTTCACTTTTGTCTTAGGCGTTGGGTTCGCCTTTAGCATCCACGTCTGTTTGAATTTTGGCGGAGTCTTGACCGCCTCTTCTTTCTGCATCTCCTCTGCTTTCTTCAAGAGAGCTCGGGCATGCGCAAGGAGTGCACGGCGCTTCCTGATTCTCTCTTCAAGAGTGGAGCGATTCCTTGTAACACGCACCCACTTGTTTGTTTCTGCTTGAGAGGAGGGGCTGGTTATGTACCTTTGTTGCTCTTGGCGTTGTCTTGCTTTGAGATCTTCGCTGTAGCGGACCCCATCCATAGGCTCCAAAGCCTTGGCCATTTGACGAGCAAGACGTTGACGCCGCCTTTGGAGTGCCCTCTTTGATGTAGCTGGAGCGCCTTCAGTAGCCACCTTCTTAGGGGAGGAGCCCAGATCTGCGATCTTGACCACGTTAGGCGACGCGGGGACGCCACGTGGTACAAGTGCAGCGATGGCTAAGGGATCTCGGGTCTTTGAGCCGAGGGTCCCACGAACGACTCTGGAGGAGGATGCCTTCTTTCGCCTACTTGGAGAGGCGGATCTGGAGGAGGAGGAAGAGAGGTATTGTCTCGGCCAAGCCGAGACACCCTTGTGTTTTCGGAAAAAGTTGTTGTTTTCATTGCTTTTGAATCTGTTACAACTTCAAACGTTACAACAAGAATCGATAAAAAAGGTCGGTCTTTTTATAAGACCTCCTTGCAACAAAAACAAAGATTACAACTTTATCGAAAATAAACACGAGATCCCGTTTTGGTGCGGTCTCGCTTGCATGGGTCTTTGGCCTGTGACGGGGATGTTGATATCCGTGGACCACCGGGGCAATCAGATCCGGTCTGGATAAATCAGACAGAGTTTCGTCGATCCGCGTGAGATCAAGAAACTTCTAATCCAGAAATATCGGACAGAGCTTCGTCGATCCGCGTGAGATCTAGAAGCTATAAGCGTATACCTCGGCTAAAGCGAGGTATTAGCTCTTCTTAGTATTAACGCTAAAGGCTAATACTAAGGATCGGATGAGAACGGGTGATGAAGCTGATTTAGACCTCTCCTCCTCGGTTGAAGTGCTCGATCAGTGTTTGCTGCAGCAGGGCTTCGCCGAGGCTCTCCAAAAATCCAGATCATCCCAAATGAGGTAAGGGGGTCCTATTTATAGGAAAACAAGAGGGGGGGCGTCCGCACAGATCTAGGACACCCCAGGGGTGTCCGCACAGATCTGGGACACCCTTGGGGTGTCTCCAAAAATCCGAGACACCCCTAGGGTGTCTCGGAAATTCCGAGACACCCCTGGGGTGTCTCGGAATTTCTGAGACACCCCTGGGGGTGTTTCGGGATTCCGAGACGTCCGTAGGTGCGTTTTGGTCGTTTTAGGTGTATTTTGTTTGTTTCCCCGTAGATTCTTCGTCCGGACTTGGATTTGAGTGATTCCGGGTGCGTTGGATGCGTGACGAAGAGTTCGATCCGCTCTGGTGATTGGATTATCTGTAGAGTGGTCGAGGCGCGAGGGGCGTTGTCCTTTTTGTGAACAGTGCCGGGTTCCCGATTGGTCCGGGTGTTGGTTGTTCCGAAATCCTGTAAACTCACGTGGCTCGTCGATTCACTTCAGTTGTTCGTCGACGTCGATTAGACTCATGTGGATCGGATAGTGACGTTCATCGTCGCTCATTAACACTGAACCGTTTGTGGAGACCTATAGGCAATTTTCGATGCCTACATACCACTTATCTCCTAAGTACTCGGAACATATGGTATATATATGAGGGGTTCCTTGTTTGGATTTTTTGCTCGATGTACTTGTTCCAATTAGTTAGGGGTTAAGTGGGGTATTTACATTTTAGATGGTTAAGTGTAGACATCAAATATGATTCTCGAACGTGATGATGATATGTAGCGCCACTTCCTACATTTATTGAGGAAGTGAATTGATTTATATGCATGAGTATTTGTGTGTTTATATTTAGATTTAATGCTAGAATGAGGATATTTCCGCTCAGTTCTTAACTTTTTGGAACATATGGTATATATATGGGGGTTTCCTTGTTTGGATTTTTCGCCCGACGTACTAGTTCCATTTGATTAAGTGTTGAGTGAGAATATAGTCTTCCTGGATTGTTAACTATAAATATCATTATATGCTTGTCTACAGTATTATTATTTGTTTAGATATAATTTTCGAATTTCAAGGACGAAATTATTTTAAGGGGGGAAGAATGTAAAACCCTGTATTTTTCTTTGTTATGTGTATATGTGAATTATGGTGATAAATAGCTTGGGTTCATAGATGGACATGATAACATGTTATTTGAGATGATATGAGGCATATATATAGAGAGTTTTGTACGTTGGTTTTGCAAATACACAAAACATGCACGAAACAGGAAAACTGCCAGATCAGTCGACCGATCAGTCGACTGATTGTTTGAGTCGAAAATTGTTGTATTTATTGCGGTATTCATTACAACTTCGGTCGTTATAATGAAAACAAAAAGATAGTCTTTTTATAAGACTTTTACACATTGAAAACGAAAAATACAATTCTCGTCAGACAAACGCATAGATCGTTTATCGGTCTTCTGCTCGCGTGGGATCTTTGCCTGTGCCGGGGATTTTGATATCCGTGGACCGCCTTTGATCTGGATCCGGTTGATGGAAAATTCGGCGGAGCTTCGCCTTCACTGAAGTAGTGTTTGATTTGAAGCATTGAGATCGACCAAGCGAAATCAGCACTCTTCTCGAGATCAAGACCAAGCCTGATCTCAAGGAACTAGGGGAAACGGGCATCGGATCTCTCGAACTCTCCTTCTTTATGCCGAAGAACTCGCCAAGATCTATCAACCCTCGCTGAAATTTGTGCTCCATTGACTCCTCAATCCGGCAGCACCTCCTCATCTTGATAACTAATCCCCCTCTGAAAGGAGGCCCTAGGCTTGTATTTATAGGGCTCCGGATACCGGTATGTGGATGAGAAAGAGTGATTTGGCCTTATCTTCAGTCAATAACGGCCTAACCACGTTTGTGGATGATATCAAGTTAGTTAGGAACCACTGGAACAAAAAAAAACCGATCGAAACAGCCTAAAAACGTGTTTTCAGGTCAAAACAGCACGACGGACGGATCCGTCCCGCAAGGGTACGGGTCGGACGAGTCCGGCCCTCTGTTACTGTAGAAAAATCCGACCCGCGGTTACTATAGCAGAAAAATCCGACCCGTGGTTACTGTAGTAGAAAAATCCGACCATCGGTTACTGTAGCAAAAATCCGTCACGCGGTTACTGTAGCAGAAATCCATCCTGTGGTTACTATAGTATAAAAATCCGACCCGCGGCTACTGTAGCAGA